CCTACCAGCCCCCCCCCCTCCCTGTTCTCTTCCCTCTCTTGTGTCCTCTTCCTCACGTCCACCCTGTCTTTTCTTGTCTTCTCCTGTTTAGCTTTTTGAGTTAATGGACGCTGCTTCTTGGACCTTTTTTTCTGCAATCAAACATTCTGACTTTTGTTATTGTCCATGCCTGAATTGTTTTAATTCCATACCATGTTTCTGAGCACAACTCCCATCTTCTGCTAAGCCAATTCCTTCCTCTTTTTCTTTTTACCTTTGCTTTTAGAATATCTTTCTATGATGAATCATTCTATTTGATGCATTCAACATAGTTTAGGTTCATTATCATTATGCTCCTTAAGGAGTGTTGGTGTTTCTATTTCCTATTTCCTTTCATATTCATTCGTTAGTTTCTGTCTTCAGTATATTTTTAAAAATCTTCTTGTCTCTTGATGTTCGTTGCTTCTTAATGTTGTGGTGGGAATGCAATACTGCTTAGGATTCTTTTTTTCTGTCATTGCAACGTGCTTTCCAGATAAAATTTATCCTTTTCTATTTTTATGATGCAGTTTAAATTCTCTGGAGTTGTTTTCTCATTCTCTTTAATCTTGGCTCCGCGGTATTTATAAATTGCTTTTTTGCTATTTCTTCCTCACAGTTCTTAATATAACATCTTTGCATTTGCATGAGTCTGTCATTTCGCATTTCTTTCCATTTAGATGAATTCCGTTTGGCTCACTGTGTTCGTTGACAGATTCTATTTTTTAAAGTCTCTCATTCTCTTGAGTTTTGTGGCAACCTCGCTCCAAACACAATGTTCAACACTTTGTAGATCCAAACAATGATGTACTTTATGTGGACCAGGTGAGGTTTCATTTTAATTGTTTTGTTTAGGCTCTTGATAGTGTGATTGTTCTTACTCTTCTCCATATAAGATTTATTGCTTTCCAACTCTATACGCACTAATGCAATTTCTGGTGATAAACAACTATGTTTTACTTGATTTGTACATAAATATTTCTTTTTGATAAATGTTGGTAAATTTAACAAAAATGTAAAACTGGACTTTTTTGGTGGTCACTTCACAAGATGATTGTGTGAAAAAATCTATACTTTTTTGGCAGATGCTTGTGAATGTAGAATTACGTTTATTGAGCTGACAATATAAACACGCACAGTGACCTTTAGTATTTTCTTCTCAACTTTTACAAAGTGTCTATATTTTCATCCTATAGCCTAGTTTTGGGTTCTTATTACCGCAACGGTTTCATTAGGTATCAGGCATGGAACTAAACTTCAGAACAATACATGGGATTTCTTTTTCTCAATGATAAAACTACTTTTTATTTTGTCTTCCACAACTCAAAACGGCCCCTCCCCACTCCCTCCCTTGTAAAAGACGGAAGTACTGGGCCTCACCGTGGCACAAGGGTGTAACACTCTGTTCAAATCAGCAGGGTGGCTAAGAAAACGCTAATATGTCTAGCAATAGCCTACTTTCTGGTTTGAACTTAGTGGCTAACACAGTACTACGCATAATAAAAAGAAATACGTAACTGGTAGCTTCTGAATCAAAAGGAATCTAACTTTTTTTCAACTTCTGCCCGTTCCTCCAAAAGGAATTGGAAAGGAGAGAAGAGGGAGATAAGGGGATGGTGGGGGGAGGGGGTGACAGTTCAGCAGGCATTGTCTCAAACTACTGTTTAATAAACCAACGTGTTTTAAAGCTTTTATTTGATTTTTTATTATTTTTGTGGAGTTTTTCAGGTTCCTCATCCACTTGGTTGGCCCATATGGGAGATGGAGATGGCCTGGCCCTTTATAACTTCTATATGATCTTCCAATTCTTATTTACCTTACGAAACGTATATAAGCTAATTGTTTTGCAATACTGTAAACCTCTTACAAAAACGTATTTGTTATAAGGAAATGGCAAAACAATTTTTGAAAATTGACTATTACTCCGATTTGATTCGATTTGATTAGATAGATAGATAGATAGATAGATAGATAGATAGATAGATAGATAGATAGATAGAAAAAGATAATAAGTTAGCCCGTCACTCTGAACTGCATATATTCCGAGTCTTAAAGTGAGCTAAGGAAATCAAATCTTTTAAAAAAAAAGAGTCTCCCCAGGACCTTTATGTAAAAGACAACGATGGTATTAAAGGTTGGGGCGGAGAAACTCCTTTATATTATCGAGAGAGGTGTGCCCATAGTCTCCGGAGATTGCACTCAGATTTTTAGAGCCCTATTATATTCCTTGTTATGTTTAACCTAATTTTAAACACAGTTGACATCCTTATTGCTATGGCCAAGTTTATCTCTCTTTCTCTCTCTCTCTATCTCTATCTCCCATTTTTAATATCTCTTTTTCTATCTCTCCTTTTTATATCTACCTCAACTGTCTCTCTCCCTCTCTCTTTCTCACAGTCACATACACACACACTGTCTTCCAATCTCTATTTGTCTCATTCTTCATTTGTTACTGTCTCTTTTTTCTATTTCTCTTTTTTTGGGGGTTTATATCTAACTCAAATGTCTCTTTATTTCAAACAGACAGACAGACAGACAGACAGACAGACAGACAGACAGACAGACAGACAGACAAAGTGAATGAGATAGTGAGAAGGAAAAAGACATACAGAGAGAGATGTTTTAGAATCTTTTCTTTCTCCTTGCAGTATACCAACTTTTCCTTTTAGAAACCAACAACACATAGATCTGGTTGCTACAAAGGTGGACCACAAATCCCTCCTCCGATACCCTGTTTACTGCTATAAATCCCAAAGTCAATGGACTCGAGGACCAACGACTCTGGTGTAGCGGTTAAAGGGTCTTTGCAACTGCTCGCAGAAGACATTAGTTCGATAACCGAAAAGACAGACTGTTTATGAAGTAATGCATTCTGATGCGATATTGCATCCCGTCCTTATTATTTATTCTCCCCAGTATACTTTTATCAGAACTGGTGGCTGGTAAGCAAGACAATATTCGACTAGACTCTGTGTCAAAACATGAACTTCCACAAACTTGTCAAATTGAAAACATGCTAAGACACTACAGTATAACATAATGTGCTTTTTTGGGACTGGTTATTCAATTATAACAGCAGAAAATTCAAATACACAGATTTTACAAGAAAATCTTTGTTTTTACTTTAGAAACGGACACATTTATTTAGACGAAGCTGGGCTCTTTAGAACGTTTCGTCAAAGAACGGTCCCTTAATCAGTATTATTGTTATAAATATTAGTATTATTATGTCCGAGCGATACTTAGAAACAGCTTTGGTTAGTCCTACATCTTCCATGGATGGATTTTCGAATTCTTCGGGATCTCAGGCGTGGTTGTATACTTTTTGGAATTCTCTGATTTAATCAGATACGACGCATGGGCTACTTTGGGATGTTCTGTATCTACGCCACTACACCTTTCTGTAAAGTTTGGGTCTGTGACATTTAGGCGACTGATTCCATTGCCTTCCGTTTCTTCAGCATCTAGATGAGGCTGTTGTATTGTAGTAGCTTTTCGTGATGACGTCTATTGAGTTTATTAGCACTCATTGTCCGTCATCTTCCGAGTACGGCGATTTCAACCCAAACATCGGCCGCAATCAATGTAGTTTACCTGTGAATAAACGAATGAAAAATAATAAATTATGTGTAGTTTTTTTTCATTTTGATTTGGAAATAAAACAAATCAAACCTTGAAAGGCTAAAGAAGTACAACGCATTAGATTATCGATAGAATCTCCTATCACGTCGATCTTTGGGCTCACACATGCATCTACAGGTCTTAATCAAGGATAT